GTGCCATCTACTTAAATTCATTCTCGTGTTACTCATCATTCAATTTTATTCATCAGTTTTTTTCATCATTCAAAAAACGAGAAGATCAAAATCCATATTGATGATCAGAAAGTTCAAAAACTCTAGTTTGAAAGACTAGAGTTTTTGAACTGATGTTCAAGGAAAAAAACTAGTCTAGTTTTTTTCCTCGAACATCAGTTCTTTGGAATTCGCTTTCTTCATCTTGCTTTCCTGATTCATATAATTTGCAATCTTTAAAGTCTTCTGTTGCACTTTTTTGCGCCCGATGTTTATGAAATAATAAGCGAATTTCCAAATTGTGAAGCAGCAATACAAGCTTTACAGTCTGTGTACATTAAACTATTGAATGAGGTTTATGCATGGCACCCCTTGGCAACACGTAAGCAACAGCCAGGAAAAAGTTTTGATGAATATTTACATGCTCTTAAAGTTTTAGCAAAAGAATGTAACTTAAAACAAGTGTCTGCTATTGAATATCGTGATCAATATATTAAAGATGCATTTATAACAGGGATAAGATCACAAATTGTCAGACAGCGACTACTAGAAAACAGTATAATTAGTTTGGATAAAATGTTTTCAAAAGCAAGAACCTTGGAATCAGCACGGAAAAATGCTGAAAATTACCTCAAGTATAGTACATCAGACTCAACAGTAGCTGCGATAAATAAAAAGCCAAAGCAATTTAACTCAAATTCTGTTTCAAATTGCTGGAACTGTGGGAATCAAAGACATGCTAAAGTTGTTTGTTATGCTAGAGAGTCAATTTGTTTTAAATGTGAGAAGGTTGGTCATTTTGAAAAGTTATGTAAATCTTCTAAACTTACAACAGCAGAGATGAACCTTGTTGACCAATCTTTGAACTCATACAATCCTTCGCTTGCTTGACTCGAGTACCCTGAACATAGAACTAATTAAAAGAATATTTCTGCTTTCATTTCAGCTTGACTAAATCAACAATTGGTATGTTGGTTAATGGTTTATTTGTAAACGCTCTCATTGATAGTGGTAGCACTATCAATGAGAACGATAGTTTTATTCACCCTCGCTTGGTACAAAAACTAAACCAAACAGTTCATAGACACAACCAGGTATCTATGGCTTCATCTTCTTTATCTAGTACAATTTGTGGAATAGTTTTTCTCAATATTTCAACAAAAAGTGAGCATTATAAACTCGTGAAACTTAACATCTTAAATGAGTTATGCATGGATGTTATTCTGGGTCTTGATTTTCAAAAACAACACAAAGCTGTAACCCTTCAATTTAAAGGAATTAATTTGTGGCTTGTTAAAGTTGAACGTATCTCCATCTAGTTTATTTGGCAATTTATTGCCTAACTGTAAACCAATAGCTTTAAAATCTCGTCAATATAGCAAGGAAGACCAGACATTCATTGAAATGGAAGTACAATATATGCTTAAAGAGGACATTATTGAACATTCAAATTCTCCCTGGAGAGCTCAGGTAGTTGTAACTAAAGGAGAACGCTCTAAGAAAAGATTAGTCATTGACTACAGTCAAACAATAAATAAGTATACTCAGCAAGACACTTACCCATTACCAAGGATTGATGACCTAGTAAACAAAATGGCTCAGTACAAAATATTTAGTACAGTTGATTTGAAATCCGCTTACCATCAAATTCCAATTACCAAAAATGATAGAAAATTTATAGCTTTCGAAGCTAATGGGAGGTTGTTCCAAATTAAGCGAATGCCTTTTTGGATTGAAAATGGTGTTGCTTGTTTTCAATGTACCATAACGAGTTTATAGAAAGAGAAAAACTTCTAGTTACTTTTGCTTATCTAGATAATGTGACAATGTGTGGTAAAACCCAAGAGGAGCATGATAGTAATCTGGAAATATTTCTCAAGTCAGTTAAAAAAATTAATCTTACATACAATCATGATAAATGTAGCTTCTCCCAAGATAAAATTTGCTTTCTTGGTTATTTTATAGAAGAAGGAAAACTCAAACCAGATCCCAGTCTTCTTCAACCTATGAAAGAGATGCCTCCTCCTCATGATGCTAAATCCGTGAAGCGCATCATTAGACTATTCTCATACTACTCTAAGTGAATTCCAAACTTTTCCGAGAAGATAGCTTCCATAACCAGAAACATCAAGCACCCATTAGATTATCAGTATTTAAATGATTTTAATCAACTTAAACAAGACATTGAAAATGCTGTGCCAGATTATGTGGACAAAAATGTCCTGTTTGAAGTAGAAACCGATGCATCTGACTATAGCTGCAGTTCTTAATCAAAATAGACACCCTGTTGCTTTTTTTTCAAGATTACTTCAAAAGTCTGAGCTCAAACATCCCTCTTTATCAAAAGAAGCTTGAGTAATAATAGAAGCAGTCAGACATTTGAAACATTACCTTACTGGACGCCATTATAGACTTATTACCAATCAGCAACCTGTGTCCTATATCTAAGCAACATAAATCAAAAATTAAAAATGATAAAATTTATCGATGGAAAATTAAACTATCTTGCTATAACTATGACATTGTTTACAGCGAAGGGAAAATAAATATCCCAGTTGACACATTTTCTAAAATATATTGCTCAGCAAGAAACACTGACAACTTAATTCAGTTTCATCAATCACTCCGTCATCCTGGAGTAATTAGATTTTATGCTTTTATTAAAAATCGTAATTTACCATTCTCAATTGATGATGTTAAACTAATAACTAATCAGTGCAAATTATGTTTTGAATGTATGTCTAGATACTACAAACCACTAAAATCTAATTTGATAAAGGCAACACAACCACTGGAATGTTTGAACTTAGATTTTAAAGGACCTTTTCCTTCAGAAACTAATAACAAGTATTTTTTAACAATAAATGATGAGTACTCTCGTTTGCCTTTTGCAATCCTGTGCCCTGATATTTCATCTCAGACTGTAATTAAGTGTTTGTCCCAAGTATTCTCAGCTTTTGGTTTGCCAAGTTATATCTATTCCGATAGAGGTTCAGCCTTCATCAGTTAAGAATTAAAACAATACTTACTAGAGAAAGGTATTACGACAAGTCATATAACAGCATATAATCCCCAAGGAAATGGTCAAGCAGAAAAGTATAATGGAACCATAATGAAGTTTATTGAGATTGCTACTAGACAACACAATTTACCCATCAAAGCTTGGGAAAAATCCCAAGCTTTGATGGGTAAATTATAATGTCAGATGTTCTCCATTCTATAAGATCATTAATAAATACAAAAACAATGGAGACACCTCATTAAAGAATGTTTAAGCACCTTCGTAAAACAGCCATTGGATGCACTGTACCTTCATGGTTATGTAATCCTGGACCAATACTAATGAAAAGATATTTACATAATAATAAGTATGAACCACTGGTAGACAAAGTTTAACTCATAGATGCTAATCCTCAATATGCTCACAAAGGTACCCAGATGGAAGAGAAACCACTAAGTTTTGCTAAGACAGTTTAGCTCTGCTTTGATCATTGATCAAACAAATCATATTGAACTTTCATCAAAAAATGCTTTTAATAAACATTCTTACCCTTATAAACCATTAACACCTAGGAAATATGGACTTACCAATACTTTCCCTGAAAACTCTCCGAAACAGCCTCCCTTTATGATTCTTATCCAATTGATCAGCTGTTATCAATAACCTGGAAAAGACTCGCGTAGATCCTCGGGAGTAAGTCGTTGATCATTACGATTACGACTTATAGAAGATGATACATGAAGAATCTTGTTTATTTAACATGAACTCTGTTTATATCATGGCTGCAGAAAATGTTGTGTTTTGATTATTTACTTTGTTTATATTATGGCTGCAGAGAATGATGTGTTTTGATTATAAAAATTTATAAGAATCAAAATTGTTGTTGTTCTTTATACAAGTGCTTCAGAGGGGTTAAAGCTATTTAAAATCTGGGCTTAATTCAAACTTAATTTAACTAAATTTGCAAATTTTGTGTATGGAACCATCAAAAATCAACTTTTTAGAATTGTAATTAGTTTTTTAGATTGTTTTAGGTAGCCATTATGGATAAAATATGACAGAAGGGTCAAAGTATACTGAAGTTTTTATTTTTTGGAAAAATCAGAAATTTCAAATTATGATATTTTATGAACCACAAAGGTGAAATTTTCATTTTTTATTTTTCTTATTTATATTAACTAAGCCAATAAGTTTCATCAAAATCTGAGATAATCTATATTGAAATTCTAATATCTTACTTTAAACATTTGGAAGAAGGCATCAAAGACGTTAGGAATGACAATAAGGCCTTCTTTGAATTTTTAAAATTTATCTTTATTTTAAAAAATAAAGGTAAATTTTAAATTAAATTAAAACCTGAAATGATTTTAAAATTTGACAAAACCTTGTTTTGCTGTGACCCTGTGATATCTGTGTATGGTTTAAACAACTTATTGTATTTTTTAATAGGGTTTACATGTTTGCCAATTTTTATGCCTATTTATTTTAATTCAAATAAAAACAGTTTATGTGAAACCGAGACCCCCATAATCCAGACTCCCTAATTTTATGGGGTAGCTGGACTAACAGTCTTTTCTTTTCTTTTTCTTTAATTAGAAATATTTAAAAACATTAAATTTTAATATTATATATTTTAGGTCAGTATATTGTTTTATAGATAAAAAATCTTTTAGTTGGTAAAATAACCTTTTGATGGCTCTAGAGCCATTGATTTTTTTTTACCCTAAGTGATAAAAATAAGTTTGTAAATAAGGTCAGTTGTTGTATGAGGTTTTGAATTTTTACTTGCAATAGATATGGCAAGTATAAATTAAAAACCTCATGCTCACATTGTAAAATCATGGTCCAGATATAACAACTGACCTTATTTACAAACTTATTTTTATCACTTAGGGAAAAAAAAATTTAGAAGTTTTGATTTTAAAACTTTTAATACTTAAATCTTTAAAAAACAAAAACAAAAATAAAATTTAAAAAATACCTTCTTCTAAATAACAGGGTATAGAATGGGATTCAATAATACGAAATCCAAATTCATAAACAGATTTTAAAGGTATTTTTACATTAACTGTCAATTTATTTTGATAACCATTAAGATTGTAAAAAAATATAAACTTCTCTTCAGATGATGGATAACTAATATTCTCTCCCAATTCAGATGGTGGATTTAATTCAGTATCCATTTTTGGCTATAAAAATAATTATATGACAAACTAATGTTTAAACCTCCTTTATCTGAAACTTAAAAATTATTAAAAAAAAAAAATTATTTATGAATTATATTTTAAAACTATTACATAACTATAACAAATAAAAAAAAGCATTTATCAACAATAATAAAAAGCATTTATCAACAACAATAACAACAAAATATTCCTTTTTTTTTTTACAATTTTACAGCAAAACAATAATAATGAAAACAATAATAATAACAATAATAACAAAAATAACAATAATAATAATAACAATAGCAACAACAATAATAATAAAGTAATAATAAAAAATGTATATATATATATATATATATATATATATATATATATATATATATATATATATATATATATATATATATATATATATATATATATATATATATATATATATATATATATATATATATATATATATATATATAGCAATAACTATAACAATAATAACAACAGCACAAATAATGATATTATGATAAACATAGTAATAATAGCAATAACACTGATGAAGAAAACACTAATAAAAAATAATTTAGTTTAAAAAAGATAAAACAATAAATTGAATAAAAGATATTTAAATTAGTATTATAACACAACAAAAAAAAATATTTGAGGAGTTTGGGTTTTAAGTTCTTAAGATGTATAAGATTTGTAAACAATATTTTTCTGAAAAATATTTAAAGAGAGCAATTTTAAATTTTGAGAAAGATTTAATAGGTTTTAGTTGATTGTTAGGAGGTTTTAGGAGATTGTTCCATGTTTTTATGCTTTTATGTTGTATGAAATCACAGCCATAATAAACAGTTTATATTTAGGTACAGATAACTTAAAGTTGCAAACAGATTGTAGTCACATAGTTACAATTTTCCTTAAAATAAAAAAAGTTGATAAACGTACTAGGTGAGTTACTATGATTTTGGTTAATACAAATTTGATATTTGAATATGATAGATGAATAAGATCACACAATTTAAGGATTTAAGACTATGTTACAATTTCAATTTGTATGTAGGGAATAATTTAATTTTAGTGCTTTATTTTGGAGATGAGTTAGTCTTAAAAAATCAAGCTGCTTTGATTGTCCCTAAACTTGAAAAGCATATGTATTTCACTCTCATCTTATATGACAAGCATATAAGATGAGAGTGAAAAATATCATTGTATATATTAAGCAAAGTTTCATAATTAACATGATGGATTTTAGCTAGCATGTTTCTTGATCTGCTTAATTTCAGTGCTAAGTCTTTAAGATGACTTGAAATGCCAAAGATAAATGAAAGGCTATTTTGATTACAAGATACTTAATAAAGATAACTAGATTTAATTTCTGCCCACTAAATCTGAAATTTTATTGCCTATTAATTTTTGTTTGAACAGATTTAAATTTAATAATTTCCATTTCTCAGAGTTCATAGATAATTTATTGGAGCAAAGCCATTGAGCAATATTGGCTAGATGTGATTCATATTAAGTTTTTTGAGTGATTTGTCAAATCACTCAAAAAACTTAATATGATAAATGGATAAGCAGTAGAGAATTTATATGAAACATTTGACAAATGGATAAGCAGTAGAAAATTTATATGAAACATTTAAATGAATGATAAAATTAAGAATAAGTAAGGGTCTTTAAACCCAACCTTGTGGAACACCATTAAAAGATTAAAAAAAACCTATTATTTTCTATCTAGCCAATATTGCTCAATGGCTTTGCTCCAATAAATTATCTATGAACTCTGAGAAATGGAAATTATTAAATTTAAATCTGTTCAAACAAAAATTAATAGGCAATAAAATTTCAGATTTAGTGGGCAGAAATTAAATCTAGTTATCTTTATTAAGTATCTTGTAATCAAAATAGCCTATAAAAAAAGAAAATAGGAAACTTATGTTTCCCCAAAAAATTCTTGATTCTGTCAAATATAGCTTTTTGAAATAGTTTACTTAAGTTTGAAAGAAGAGAAATGGATTGATAATTAAAGTAGTCCGGAGGAGAACCTATTTTGAGCATAAGAATTACCTTGGCTACTTTAAAAACTTCTGGAAAAATACTATTTTTGAATTATTCATCATATAAGAATTATTCATCATAGTACATATAGGTTTGGTAACTATGAGAGATACCAGCTTTAAAAGGAATGTTGGTAGACTATTGGGACCAAGGCTTTTATTATTTTTTATGACATTGGATACCTCATTTTTAATCACGGGATTAATGAAAAAATAATAAGTACTAGGTATTTTAAGAAAGTTGCCAAAAACACGTTTTGGAAGGAACCATTTTTTTAAGTAATATGTCTTGAATAGTCTTTAATAGCAAAATAATTGCTAAATATATTAGCAATACTGGTATGATCTGGCATGGCATATTCATTGACTTTGACATTAAAAGACTAGCATCTTTTAGTCTAAAAATCATTATTTAGGATTAGAAGGTTTGATGTTTATGATTTCTTTATCTTTTACATTATTAAATTTATTATTACATAATATAAAAAGGACGCATTTTAAGATTATGGAATAAAATAGTAGAATAATGTAAACATATATACATAAAAAAAAAAAAAAGAAATATAATAACTAAAATTAAATTTAAATTACGTTTAAATTTTTATTTTCAAATGAATATTGCTATGTTTATTTTTACATAAATAAAAAAGCTATTTGATTGGTTTAAAATAATTTTTAAACAGGTAAATTTGTTTAGTCCGGTTATATTATGTCCGATATATATGCATATCATATATATAATATGAGGATGGAACCCTCATATCATATATGAGATATGAGGAGGAACCCTCATATCATATATGAGATATGAGGAACCCTCATATCATATATATAGTCTAAAACCCTCCGAGGAAACTGATTTAAAGAAAAAGACGAACTTTGGTTCGCTTTTTCTCTTAATGAGAATACTTATAGTTGCGCATCAACAAAAATTGTGCAGTTTAGTAAATATTTGCAGTGGTGGATTAAGACTTCTTGGGGCCCAGGACTATTTTTGTTTTTGGAGGCCTTTTTATGGAACAGAGCCTAAAAATGACTAAAAATAAATAAATAAATGAAAAAAAAAAAAAAAAAGGTCCTCTAAAATTTTTGGGGGCCCCTAAATTTGCGGGGCCAGGGGCTATAGTCCCCCCTGCCCCCCCCTATCCTTGATCCGGCACTGAATATTAGACACTAGATAAACGGTATCGAATCTCGGTTTATCGTTTGGTATCTGTACAACCCTTACAGTATTGATATCGAGATCTCGCAATCCTGGTATGGAAAGTATCAGTTACGTTGATATCGTTTGGTACCGATGTTATATTTGGTATAGTATGATATACATGCAGGGCCGCCATTAGGGAGAAGCATCACATATGCATAAAAAAAAGTTATTGAAATGATAAAAAATTCATCTGAAAACATATTTAAAGCTTAAGCAATTTTTTTGTATTTCGTTCTTCTTTAAAACTTTGTTTACATATAAAATAGGATAATTATTGCTTTACGAGGTTTTCATTTTCCATTTAAACGAACGCGTTTTCATTGGCCCTTTGTTTGCATAATCAAGTAAAGAGCGTTAAAAATTTTTTTTTTTTTATTTAACGGTTTGTAAAAGTCGAACTTTTAGTTATTTAACTTTGCTATTATTTTTGCTTAAACTTTGCATCCCATGGATACTTTTGAGCGTGTGTATATTTTTGATTCGCTTGCATTTTGTTCCAACTATATTTTGATAACGAAATGAAAAAAGAAACTAAATACATTCCAACTATATTTTAACAAGAAATTTATCTTCAGTCAATATTTACTAACTTAGAACTGACTTTTGCCCTGCGATTAATAACACCAAAGTAATTAATAAGATAAGGAAAGAGGCGTGAACTTATTAGTTAAATGCGCTTCCGCGGTGCTCTGTAACAAGACCGTCAGGTCTTCTTGGGGCACCTAAATAACAAACAAACAAAAAACAAACAAAAAAACTATAAAATTTTTAATTTTTAAAGTTTAAAAAGTTAACATTCTTTGCATTGTCATAAGTTTTAACTTGAATAATCAAAGACATCCACAATAAAACCAGTTGTCTGGAGCTGCCGGAGAAAAAAGGTCGATGATTCGGAAAGAAAACAAATGTTTAAAACAAACGAACGTTTTTAGATTGTAGGACAAAAAACGCACGCTGGTAGTAAAATTACTTTTAAATCTTGTGACATCTATGAAAGAACATTTCAAATATTTCTACTTACCAATATTTCTTTATAATTGTATGATATAGAGATCGGTATCAATGACTTTAATAAGTTGCCATATCATAATTCCGACAAACCTTTTCATGCCGATGGCATCAATGACTCCAAAAAATCGTCATTACCTTAAAAAAATATCAGTTGGATTTTGTAGTTGATTGTCATAACGACCAACAAATATATAAAAGTAATCTTTGTAGACCAACCTCTAACAATTCTGCACTCAATATCATACACTGATCACTATCATACACAATATATTCTGCACTATGGAAATCAATATCATACACAATATATTCTGCACTATGGAAATCAATATCATACACTGATCAAACAATGGAATTCTGCACTATGGAAATCATACACTGATCAAACAAATATTATTTTGATGGGGTCTTCTTCAAATTCTAGCAATTTTCCAAGAGATCAAAAGAACGCAAATTCCTTACTTACAACTTTATAAAGTAACAAAGAAACGGAGAAAAGCTAGAAGAGATTGGCTCATTTAGAGTAAAGCTGTGGCAACACTCTTTTTTTTTCCTTGCTCTCTTTTTAGATTGCTTATTTTAACCACACCCGTTGTTCAATTCAGTTTGCCGTCTTGGAATGGAGGTATACGTGGAAATTGGAGAAAACTTTCTCATTAAAAGTTTATTCTCGCATTAATAGTTATCAACTACGAAATATTCATCTAAACTATTCACTGTGATTCACATGAAAAGTCTAAGGTCCATTGAACATTAATTAGAAAAACAAATTGGAGATAAAACAAAACGAT